TCCATACATGAAGATGGATTGTCTGTATGTGTAGGACAAACTCTATTCAAACCCGAGCTCATCGCTTCTTTCGCATAGTTTACAAAAAAGCCAAAATTTCTTGAATGTGTGTTCTCTAAAGACGAATTCTACGTTCCCAATCTTCGATAAGTTCAGTTATTGTCTTCCTTGCATTAATGAACTCGCACCACGTGCGTCCAGAAAGGTTTCGAAGTTATGAATCTTGTTCGGTGTAGATGGTGACCTCCAACTGCTCGCCCATCACAAATCGATCGCGTTCTTCCCCTTTCCTGCCGTATTGGCCACGAGAATCAATTTTAGTGGCCTTTTCACTTTCATTCATTAGTCTTATAATTCCAAAAGGCGGCGCTTGTTAAGGATAGTCGTCGGCTGAGGATAACCGATGGGTGGCCGTTAATTTTGCATGCATAACACAAAAACCTAATCAGAAACGTGCCGTCGCAATTTTTTCCGACACACAGGGTAATACCTCGAGTAGCCAGTAGTTATTTTTCCAAACACATCACTTGGCCCTTGATGGTCTTGTTATATTTTTGATCACCGAAAGTTACCTACTACTCACAAGTGAGTAGTATCTCACGACACTAGCAGCATGCAATAGCAGAAATTAAATCTTCTTCACCAGGTGACCCTCAAATACCCCACCGGACGATGTCGTTCAAATCCATTCTCCACTGTACATGCCTTATGGCAGCTACATTCTACGGCAATATCTGCTCGTGGAAAAACACAGGTTTAGCCGCACGCTGTTTTGTTCATTCTTTCAGCTCACCGGAGGAGCGAGAACTATTGGTGTGCTGTACGAGCATGTGAAGCTGTGTACCATGGTACACACAATGAACGAAAAAAACTAGCTGCCCGCAACTGAGCTAAATATACCATTTTTTCTCTCCTCAAAACACCCCGATATCAATAAATAAATGATATAGTGGAGAACAGAAACCGGTTGGATGATTAGCAAACTTTAGAACGTAGATTATTTCTTTCAATGGATCCGTAGCATAGTAAAATTAGATAGTGAGATTTAAATTTCAAGGACGAAAGATGACGTTCGTCATTACGACGATAACACCATATCAAGATAAGATCACATTTTGCCGTATTGAAAGAAACATTGGCTGTTTATGCGCTGCGCTCAGTCACTGCGGGTGCATGCATTTCAAACGAGGTCAACCGTCAAAATAAACTCTGTGGCAAAAAAGCAAGCATAAGGGTTTATAATGGGGGACGATCAACCAATAACGCATGGGAGAACAGAATTACCAGTGGTGTAAGGATCACGATGCAAGTGAGTGAATCGATCGGTGAACCGGTGGATGGTAAAGATAGTGTGGCGCGGAGGATGAGATCAGGTAAACGGTGGCGGTGGATGAGAGACGAACAGCTGCTCCGACCAATTAGTTCTCTAGGTGAATATAGACATGGCACCCCTCGGTATGACGACGGAAGATGAGGATGGCAAAACGATGCAAATCGAGTGGTTAGAGAAGAATATTGTAGAACTGTATGGCGAGGTAAGGTGGTAACCAGTAAGGTGAGTCAAGTTGGAGATAGAAAAGGATCCAACAAGCATTCGTGACCAAAAAGGTAGCAGACTAATTACGACCCCCCCTACCCCCTCGGGAAAGTGACTGTTTCTATGTGCGCACATATTTTATTTATTCCATTTAACCGATCGGAAATATGACAGTGTTATTCCAAACAGATGGGGCACTACAGTGCTAGGCGGTTTGGAACCGGACGAGGGAAATTGTGCCATGATGTTGGGGACTTGAGATACGTCTTAATTTGAACAAACTAGAGATGTCCTTGAAGACGAATCATTTTTTACTAAACAGCTCAGAAATAGCATATTATAGCTGAACTAGCATTCATGATAAGAGCGTACTTAGGATGGGCGTATTATGTTCCAGACTGCAGAATGAATCAAAGAAAAACAGTCTGTCATCCGACTGCAATTTCTAGCACATCATCTGTTGTTTCATTGTGACCATATAATTGGTAAGAACAAAGGAATGTTATAAATATATTACATGACAGCTTAGTTCGCTCCCTAGGCAGTGTATACAAAATCCTAATGAAAACCCGTCCGAATTTGTCTATTTATATTGATGCGTTCTGCTACTAAGTTACTCGTCAATCCATTTTTTACTGATAATCCAATCATGTGATGCGATTGTCCGTGCTAGACGTTGGTTAGTACTCTTCCAGTCTCTTTGTGTGCCGGCCAACTTGATCCAATTTTAGACCATCGTTTAATCGATCTATTTTTTTTCCTTAAAAAAATCGTTTGCCTAGTTCAGGTCAGCATAATATTTCGTGTGTTCTGATTTCCCGTCTTTGGCTACTGGCCTGTAACCATACTATGCCTTTGGGCTGCCATCGGAAGTAGTTCTTATCATTGTTGGCGACGGTAGTGATATTCGAACCTACTAAGTGAAACTCGAATGTATTATCAGATTGGGACTAGTGAAAGGACTAAGTAGACATCAAACTGGAGCAAAACCGGGGACTGTGCTTATCAGATCGCGCTGCTTGGCACACGCACTGATAACGAAGGCTGAAGAAAAACCCGAATGGGTTTTAGGATGAAGAAATAGGTAAACTGGTCCAGTCGGGAACACCGGGGATCTCCCGAGTAAACCAGATGGTTCCGCAAGAATTTGCGGTGAATGACTTTATCATGAGCCATTTTGTCGCGCTGGACAGAAATCCATAACAATTTTTGGAGGACAACAGCACAATGTTGCACAATTTATTTCCGGGAAAATTTCACTGTATCTCCCCAGGTACATATTACAGTCAAAGAGTATAATGGAAACTAACAAGTAACATTTACCGTCATTCGCGTCTACACATGTGACATAATACCGGCTCCTCCAGTCAATCAACGGCTTCCGCAGTATATCAAATCCCATCAATCGCACCAATTTGTCTGTGGGTGTTCGGCCACCTATCTAAGAAGTACCCAGCGGCAGCTTAGATAAAGAGTAACCGAACACATCCCTGTGTGGGTTAACAAACTAGTGAGCGAATCACGCCCGAATGATCAAGGTCAAAGGTCAACCCCATGCCGCACACCAGCGTCATTGATCGCTCGTCACGTCTTAGAGACTGGGCATCAAGTGGCAGTCCTCATCATGCCAAACTCTCGGTTGCTCCAGTTTGCAGAGGCAATTGCTATAAAACGATGGAAGCTTGAATTGTACAATCAGAAATAGTTATTTGCAACTGTGGGATATTTGGCTCGTGTGCGCAGTGGGATCTCCCCCCCCCCCCGG